AGACTGTCAGCCCCACAGGGCAGGGACCTTTGTTCGTTCTCAGCTCGGAGAGGGCCCAGCACCCCGTGGGTGTGCCTAGGTGTGTGCCAATTGAGTGCACAAGTGACTCAGGGAGCTCAGCAGGCACGGAGCATGATCCGCTCAGCCACCCTCCCGTGGACACACTGTCACCCTTCTTGTGATGAGGGAGGCGCCTCGGGGAGGCTGCCCCTTCCCCACTCAGGCCAGGGCGGGGCTGGGGCCAGGGCTGTGCAGACAGGCCGGGGTTTCAAACCGAGTCATCCTGTGCCTGTCTGAGGGACCCTGAGCACTCGAGGACACTCGTGCAGTGGGCATAACAGGCTCCCCGTGGCCCACAGTGGGCAGCTGCACCCACAGGGGCACTTACTCTGGCATCTGCCTCCCTGCCGAGGACGCTGGCAGCGTGGCTGACGTGGCTGCGCCCTGCTCAACTCCCGCACGCCCCTTCCTGCCTCCAGCCCCCCTTACCCCTTCCACCCGCCACCCCCACCCCCGTTCNNNCCCGTTCCTCACACCACCCTGCCCCACCAGGGGCTCCTGTCCTGTGACCCCCCGAGGCTCACCCGTGCCACCTTCTCAGGCACCCCCCCGTGGGAACACGAGACCCCCCCACGGGGACTGTGGGTCTGGTACAAGCCGACCTACGAGCGCCACCCAGGGCCGGGGAACTCACCTGGGGCTGGCTCCGGGGCATTGTCCCTGTTTTCGGGTCTCCGGATGATCCCACGGGCCTGCCGCCCTCCACGACGGCGGGGACGTCGCTCCCTCTGTGGGCCTTGGCAGGGTCGCTGGTGCCCGGCGGGGTTGGCGCTGCGTCTGAGCCAAACCTGCTCAGGAAGTCCAGGTACTTCAGCCTCCCCTTGGCGTTGACGGGCATCGCGCCCCAGAGCCTGTCGAACTGGCGAGGAGGCAGAAGGCGTTTTCCCGGGGCCCGCGCAGACCCGCACGGGATCCCCCCGCCCCGGGGCCCACGTCAATAAAAAGAATTAAAAAAGAAAACCCATTCGGCCTCCACTCTGTGGAAGCCTCCGGAACAAAGACGACAAGAGGATATTCATGGCTCCGAGGGACATTTTTTAATTGAATCGGGCCCTCCGCGAGCAGTCTGAGGCCATTAAATCTCTTGATTAGTCACGGGGACCGAGCGAGAGAGACAGCACACGAACGTTCAAGGGGGAAATGCAAACCCGACCCCGGCTGTGGGCCCGGTGGCCCGGGCGTCCCAGCGCACATTCCTCGTCTCCCAGGTGGCCCAGCGCACATTCTTCATCTCCCAGGTGGCCCTGGTGGCCCAGCGCACATTCCTCATCTCCCAGGCACTCCCGAGCTCCGCAGACAGCTCCCCAGGGTCAGCCCTCAGCGCTGTGTTTGCCGCCACAACTTAAGTCACCCCGAGGGCCAGCAGTGTCCTCTCCCGGGTGAAAGGGGGGCATCTGGAAAGCTGGACAGGGGTCTGTGGCTCTGACTGGTGCTGTCAGAGGACCCAGTGCCCCTATGTGAGCCCCTTCGGATGACCCTGGGCTTTCAGGGAGCCAGGACGGGGGCCAACTTGTTTGCAGTTGGTTTTTTATAGCCCCTGAGGCCTCGTGGAGCCCCAGCCTCCAGCATGTGCAGGGGGCCAGCAGCCTCCGGCCCGCAAAGGGAGGGACTGTCCCTGCCCTCCCCACGCACCTGGCCTTGGCCAGAAACCCAAGTCGCTTCTGGGCCCCACGGGGGTTTCCAGAAGCAAATTAAGAGGGACCATGTCCAGTTCCATTTGAAATTCTGGAAATGAAGTTGGAAGGGGCGAGGGAGTGAAGGGAGATGCTCCAGGCCCTGAGAGAGGAAAATGGGTTTAGTTTAGGCCAATATTCTTGATTTTTGTGTGAACTTTTTCTTTCAAAATAACTATAGATTTGCAGGAAGTTGCACCGATGGTATGGACAGGTCACCCGTCCCCTCCACCAAGTCTCCCCCACAGGTCACACCTTATGTAACATCTTCAAAGCCATGAGGCTGCTGCGTGTGCGTGTGCATGTGGGTGCGTGTGTGTGTGTGTATAACTCCATGTCACTGATTGGATATGGAGACTCAAGTTGCTTTAATTTCGGTCAGTGAGGAAAAGCTACCTGGTGGAGTGGGAGTGAGGGGCTTTGAGAAGGTGACCACGCTGTCCACAGACCCCCCACAGGAGGCAGCTCCCACCCGGGAAGGTGACGGCTGCCCTCCTCCACCTCCCCACGTCATGCTGAGGCCACCCCGGCAGGTGACACCTCCCGGCCTGGCCTGGAAGGTCTGAGGCTCATCTTTAAATGCTGGCACACAGCTGGTGCTCAGTGAGTGTTTGTTCAGTGGCTGAGGGTCCTCACAGCCCCACAGAAGCCCCACCGCACGATGCGACAATGGAAAGACCCTTCGGGAGGTTCAGAGGAGGCAGGAGGCGGGCCTGCCTTGGTTCCTCGGGACCTAAAGCCACCGCGCTGTGTGAGGCCCCCGCTAAGTGGACGGGGCGGTGCACAGTGTGGCCGAGACAGAGCTACGTGCAAGAACATGCAAGAGGGCCCAAGGGCTTGGCCAGGTGACAGAGCTCCAGGTGGAGGGGGGACAAGGTGGCAGGTCCCCCAGGTAAAGGTGTGGCCAGGAAAGGCTTCTGTCGGCTTGACTGACAGGAGGAGTCAGCGTGAGCAGACACCAGGGGAAGGACAGCGGCGAGCAAAGACGGAGAGGGCTGAGCGGCGCTGGGCCCAAGGAGAGGGCCCCGAAGGGGCCTGGGGCCTGCTGCGCTTCCCCGTTTCACAGGCGAGGCTGCTCGAGCTCAGAGAGGTTGAGCAACTCATCCTAGGTCACAGCTGGACAAGCCCAGAGCAGGGCTGAAGCCGTCTTCCTGCCTGAAAGGTGGCTTTCTCTGCCAGCCTTCCCCTTGCTTCCTAACGGTCTTCTAGAAACACTCCGACGCGTGCAGGCCTGTTTGAAGGCTGCTTTCCCAGTGTAGCTGCACACAGTCCTCGAGGAACCGCTGTGGGCCGAGGCCGGCCTGACGGGGTGGGGCGGGCTCTCCCGCGGGTGTCCGCTCTCCCGAGTGTCCGCTCTCCCGTGGGTGTCCGCTCTCCCGTGGGCGTCCGCTCTCCCGTGGGCGTCTGCTCTCCCGAGCGTCCGCTCTCCCGCGGGCGTCCGCTCTCCCGCGGGTGTCTGCTCTCCCGAGTGTCCGCTCTCCCGCGGGTGTCCGCTCTCCCGCGGGTGTCCGCTCTCCCGAGTGTCTGCTCTCCCGAGTGTCCGCTCTCCCGCGGGTGTCCGCTCTCCCGCGGGTGTCCGCTCTCCCGTGGGTGTCTGCTCTCCTCTGAGTGTCCGCTCTCCCATGGGTGTCCGCTCTCCCATGGGTGTCTGCTCTCCCGTGTCTGCTCTCCCCTGAGTGTCCGCTCTCCCGTGGGTGTCTGCTCTCCTCTGAGTGTCCGCTCTCCTGCGGATGTCCGCTCTCCTGTGAGTGTCCCCTCTCCCGTGAGTGTCTGCTCTCCCGTGTCTGCTCTCCCGAGTGTCCGCTCTCCCGCGGGTGTCCGCTCTCCCGTGGGTGTCCGCTCTCCCGAGTGTCCGCTCTCCCGCGGGTGTCTGTCTGCTCTCCTCTGAGTGTCCGCTCTCCCGTGGGTGTCCGCTCTCCCGTGGGTGTCCGCTCTCTTACGTAACATCCATGCAGACCCAGCTCCAACAGCCTTTATACCAGGCTTTCTGCAGAGCCACGAAGACCCACCGGTCGGCTTCCCACTCCACCTGCTCAGAAGTCCCTGTCCCTTCCTGGGAGTGTAGTCGCGTGGAAAGGCTCCGAAGGAGGTGCCTCCTCCCCTGCTTACCGAGCTGGAACTCAGGAACCCTGGCCCGGGCCGCAGGCGGCTGGTTGTTCAGGGCGGGATAAGTGTCACAGTGCAGATACTGAGACCCGCCCGAGACCTGCGCTTGCAGCTGTGGAGTGTGGCTGAGGCGGCCCCAGCACCTCTGGGGACCCCTGAATAATGGCTTGGGGGGTCTGCCCATGGGCAGGGTGCACTTCCTCCTGCGCCTGTTCCCGACACCGTGCCCTTCGACCCAGGAGGTCGCCGGTGCCGTCGCTCGAGGAGGAGGAACAGGTGGCCTCTGGGACCCTGGCCCTCCGTTTCCAGCCTGCATCCCGGAGCGCCCGCCCTTCCCAAGCACAGCACGGTTCCCGCTAATCACCACCCAGCTCACGCCAGCGCGGGCGCCTGAGATGCAGCCCGAGCTGGAGACGCGGCCGCGTATTTTTAGAAAGCGGAATTTAAAAATAGGCGCTTGATTTGGGGGGGCGGGG